TACCGTTGATGTTCCACCTGAAGATGATTTCTTCTTGAAAAACGCAAATCTCTTGAAATCTGGACAATTAGGGATGTGTAATGATCCTTACTGTACAACTTGTCCTTCTTATTACAACCGCCAAGCTGCTCAGTTCCACACTTCCAGAGTTTCTGCTTCAAGGGTATGTATGTTTGTTGCTTCTACTTGTTGTTTAGCTTGAGACTCAAGTAAATGTTAGTCAAAGTCTTTACCTTTTCTTGGCTTGTTTAGTTCCACACTGCTCTGTATGATGATGCTAGAGGTTGGGCTAAGCGATTCGCTTCCTCTGTTCGTAGATGCGTACCGGGAATCATGAATCCTCATTCTAAATTCGTTCAAGGATGGACTAGGGCCTTAGCCTTTTCAAGCTTGCTTGCTATTTTTATAGATCCTCTCTTCTTGTTCCTCTTGTTAATCCGAAAAGTATGTTTCCTTCTCTTTCTTTATCAATCTCTTGTTTGACTTTATATGCATTTTGAGAACCATTTACTACTTCTGCAGGACAAGAAATGCATAGAGATTGATTGGCCTTATACTAAAGCATTGGTGTCTATTAGAAGTATAACAGATCTTATATTCTCCATTAACATTCTGCTTCAGGTGTGTCTCCTTTGCTCTCGTCTCCTATGGAAGGAAATTTATTGGCTTTTAATAAATATGCTTGTTGTGTCATAATTTGTTGCAGTTTCGGTTGGCCTATGTAGCTCCTGAATCTAGGATAGTTGGTGCAGGCCAGTTAGTTGATCAGCCTGGAAAAATTGCTCGCAATTACATCCGAGGAAAGCTTTTCCTTGACCTGTTCATAGTGTTACCCATTCCACAGGTATTAAACCCTTCAAATGTTCTTGAGTAATGTTAACTCGAAGATGTTTGATTTACTGTAGATCTCTCCTTTGTTTTCAGGTAATGATATTATGGATAATACCAGAACACTTAGGCACAGCCAGGGCAGAATCTGAGAAACACATTATACGCGCGATAGTTCTTCTTCAATACATTCCAAAGTTATATAGACTTCTTCCTCTTCTTGCTGGACAAACACCGACCGGATTCATATTCGAGTCGGCTTGGGCTAATTTTGTTATTAATCTTCTCACCTTCATGCTTGCTGGTCATGCGGTTGGTTCTTGCTGGTATCTTTCAGGACTTCAGGTATATAAGTCAGTTTCTTGAAAACTTCATTTATGTTTGAGTTAATTACTAAAATGACTTTGGAAAGTAGGGTAATTACTAGAATGACTTTGTCAAATCTAGTAACTTGACACAACTCGATAAAAGACAAATAAACTTTAATAATTTATTTTATTTACGCAACTGCCATCCTGAAACCTAAAAAAAAAAAAACTTATAAATCTACCATAACTACCCAATAAGTCTACCACCACATGTATACGTTGGAAATTCTTTAAACCAATAAATAAAACATTTGTTTGAAACCACCGTGGCGGAGACTACGGAAGCACCGGATCGTGCTCGGCGAAGGTGGGGAGGCTGCAGAAGCACCGAGATTTAGGTAAAAATTGAACTAAAAATCAAAAGTTGAAAAAAAA